GACAGTGCGTCATCACACTCCATGGACCACAGCCCTCCTGTGACATCTCTTCTCCCACTTCCCTCAAGTGAGATTCCCCTTGCTAGGAAGCCCCAGACACGCTCATCTCATATTCAGGGTCTTCTGTGGAGCCTCAAGGCTACCCTCCCAAACAGAGGGACAACAGGCACCCAAGGGTCTTAGGGCTGCGGCTCTGCCCTCAGCCATTCCCTGCTGGCCCACTGCTCCATGAAGGGTAGAGAATGGATAGGGGCTCATGCTGGGACCAGGTCAAGTGCCCTGACCCTCCACTCTGTCCCAGCCAGTGGCCAAAGTGGCATGACCAGCTTTCTGGAGTGAGCCTGCCCCCTGCAGGGCCCAAGCAGGACGCACAGCCCCATTAGGGAGCGCAGAGGCATTAGGGAGGGCAGAAGTGCACTGGTCCCTCCACCCAGGGCAGAGGCTTTGGGAGAGGGAGGCACCTCTCGTTGGGGATGTGACTGTACAGCCCAGAGTCATGCAGCAATTAGCCACCTTTGTGCATCACCGCCGTGGGGAGGTGCATCCTTTCTGAGCTGAGGCACTGGGACGCCACAGGCATATTCCGTGGGACATCTTTGACCCCTAAGTGTTGGGGCTTAGGTGAGAGTCTGGCTGCTGCCCCAGATTCCAGATCTGAATGCTTGACTTTAACAAAGGGTCAGCCATGGTCTCAGAAAGCATGTTGGAACATGGATCCCAGATACCCTGCTGAGTAGGTCTCTTAACCAGTCTGAGCCTCAGTCTTCAGAGGTATAAAATGGGTACAATTGGGCCAAATCAGGTTTTTATAAAGATGAAACAAAGTAAAGGTTAAAAAGGAGCCTTAGACAAATGCTGGACACATTATTACTTTCTCCTTTATTAGCATCCTCTCTGTTTTGGCATCTTTTGTATTAACTGTGTTCACTGCCAATCGCTGACATAAAGGGTAGTCAGGCTCCATGGACAGGGCTGTTCCTCACAGCCACAGCTCTGGGAAGCAGGGGTATGAACCTGGGGGAGCAGTGGGGCAGGTGGGCACCTGGCCAATCCCTGGAAGGGGCAGTATCGACCAAACAGGCCTGATAAAGCTGACCCCCCTTGAGTGGTCACCCCATGCAGATGACTGAGGGGATGAAATGAGTCCTGGGTACAAAGAGCAGGTTGCCCTCCCCTCCCTGAAGCCTCTCCCACATCTCAGTGGTAAAGAATCTGCCTGCCAATGCAGGTAGATGTAAGAGAGGCAGGTTCAATCCCTGGGTCTGGAATCCCCTAGAGGAAGGCACAGCAAACCTCTCCACTATTCTTGCCTGGAGAATCCCCATGGACAGAGGAGCCTGACGGGTTACAGTCCATAGGGTCACACAGTCAGACACGACTAAAAGAACTTAGCACAGTTACACCCCCAAGCCTCTCCCACATCTCGGGCCAGAGCCCTGGGACAATCATTCCTGTCCAGCTCAGGAAGGCTCTCGAGACAGCTTTGACAGTAACACCCCTCCCCCTCCCAGTGAGCCCCTCCCCCAGCCTCCCTCTCAGCTGCCTCAGGATTTCTGATTGGCCGCAGAGGTCCTTGGATGGAGCCCAGCTCCTCAGTCTCCTCCCCGGGGTCTTGATGAAAGGGTCAGGCCAGAGCCCCTACCGGGCCCAGAGTTCAGTTCATTTCCCTGTTTCACGTGGACAACTAACCCCACACCCCACCAGACCACCCAGCACTGGCTCAGAAAAGGAGGAGGCTGCCCCCATACATCCTTGGTCTGGGTTTCGGGGAGAGGGGCTGCTCCAAGCCCAGCAAACCTGGGATACGGACCCCAGGGGCCCCTGCACCAGCGAATGGGGCTCAGCTCTGAGTGTCCCCTCTGGTCCAGGCCCCTTTCTCATGCCTTCAGGACAAAGTGCTTGCCTACCTCTTTATCTCCCAGAACCTATCTTCATTCAGCTCTCATTCCTCCAACCAACACATTTACTGAGCTCCTATAACATCCTAGTTAGGAGGAGGAGGAGGATGAAACCATCCCTGCCCTGAAGGGAAGAGGATGACAAAGCTTAATTTATTCAGCATTTACTACTTACCAGGACTGTTCTAAGCATTTGACTTTCATAACTTGCGAGGGAGGTGGTATTTGGCAGGTAGGAAAGTGAGCCCACTGGGGTAAGTGACTTGGCCAGGGTTACAGACGGAGCCGGCGAGAGTCAGGAGGCCTGCCAGGGTAGCGTGGCTCCAGAGCCTATGGACTTCATGGCCTGCTCTCCTACAAATGACTGTGATGGCCATCAGTCCAGGGAGCCTTGGGGATAGACCCGGGAGGCTGGCAGTGGTGGGGAAAGAGCAGAGATCTGTGGCGGAAGCTGAACCCTGAACTAAGCTTTGAAGATGGAAATAAATTTATTGCTGCGGGCGTCACCTCCTACTGCCTGTCAGTGTGTGAACTCCCTGAAGACGGAGGCTGCCTTTTTGTGCATCTTTCTCTCTGCTAGATCCAGTATAGCATCTGGCACACAGTGCACTTCATAAACAGCTGCTGATGAAATAAATTAACCAAAAAAAGAAGCCGAGTTTTGGGAGTGGAGGTCATGTCCTCTTCCTCTTTGATGTCTGAGCTCCTAGGACAGCTCTGGGTGTGTGGATGAGAATGGAACCGCACCTCATTCCACAAGGGGCTGGGATCTGGGATGAGTGGACGGCCACAGCTTTCCCGTGGGTCACCTCTGAGCAACCACTGTGGACTAAACCAACTGCCCGGAGCTCAGACAGGCTCGGGGTGAAGGAGGAAGAAGATGATGAATGAGGGCAGTGACTATAGGAGGAGGGGAGGCAGAGGGAAGAAATGAAGAGGGAGCCAAGAAAGGGCAGCTGGCAAGAGCGCCAAGCACCCCTACTTTCTGGCCTACAACCGCACGACAAAACTCAGAAGGCATCTAAGAGGCACTCCCCCCAGTTCATTCACTGATCTCTCCCTTCAGTAAGTATTGGCCAAGCCCAGCAGTTGGCTGTACACAGCCCTGCCCCCTCGGCACATGTGGTCAATGGTCAACTGTGGGGTGTGGTGGAGGGGGCACAGATGTGCAAACACCTGGGTACACCCCACTCTCTCCCCACACAGCAGAGGAGGGGGTGGCCATCTCCATCGGAATGTTGAATAAAACACCTGGTCGTGTCATGCTAAGTCACCTCAGTNGCAAACACCTGGGTACACCCCACTCTCTCCCCACACAGCAGAGGAGGGGGTGGCCATCTCCATCGGAATGTTGAATAAAACACCTGGTCGTGTCATGCTAAGTCACCTCAGTCATGTCTGACTCTTTCCAACCCTATGGACTGTAGCCCACCAGGCTCCTCTGTCCATGGGATTTCCCACTCCAGTGGGTTGCCATACTCTTCTCCTGACCCAGGGATGGAACCCACATCTCTTATGTCTCCTGCACTGGCAAGGGGGTTCTTTACCACTAGGGGCACCTGGTCTCCAATAATAGAGTACAGAGGTGAAAGATCAGATTAGACTGAGATCCCTCACTGAACAAGGGCCCGAGAGGTCCAGCCACGTGGCTCGGTCACTGAGAGCAGTTTGGAGTGGCAGGACCTCCAGGTGGACAAGGGGGAGGCTAGTGTGGAGTTCAAGGTCAGAGAGAGGCCAGATGAGGCCAGAGCCAGGTGATCTCTTGGCTGCTGAAGAATCTGTGCTTTCCTCAGTGGCCCATGGGGAGCCCTTGTAGCATCTCTAAGCCAGGAGGACTTTTCATTTCCAGCAATCGCCCCAGCCGGTGTGTGGAGCATGGATGAAGGGAGAGCTCAAACCAGAGGCAGGGAGGCCGTAGCAACCTGCCCAGCAAGTTAAGACCAGACAGGTGATGAGGACATTACAACTAAAACAGGGATGGACTTGTGAAGGAGGTGAAGGAAAGAGGGAGCCAAGAGGGCTCCCAGGCCCGTGGTTTGGGTCTCCGGGTCCTCTGGGATGGAGGAGCAGGAAGGCCCAGAGTTGGGAGTAGGAGAGGTGCTCCTTCATCAAGTGCATCCAAGGAGGTGATGGCCGACTCATTTGGGCATGTGAGACAGGAACAGAGAAGAGGGGCCTCTCTGGAGAGTCAGCAGGACACACTGTGACTGCAGACATGTTCCAGATGCCCCAAGGGGCAGAGGGGTGAAGAAGAAAAAAAGAAAAGTGCTTATATCAGAATCCAGGAGACCAGTCCCAGTATGGAGTTAAGTGGAGCCAGTGCAGGCTGCTTGTCTGAGCCAGGACATCCAGAGAAGCAGGGGGAGGAGGATAAATATCAGCATGGACTGAGATCCCTCCTTAAGTCGTGCATCGGGTCACTGAGTGACTTGGAATGTCAGGAACTTGGGGCAAGCCAAGGGGTGGGGGGACTGCAGCCCTGGGCACCCATCATCTCAAAGGAAGCTCTCTCTGTGGGAAGCAGGGAGGCAGTAGTTGGAGTTGGAGTGCTTGTCCTTGGCCTCCTTCTCCCTCCTTCAGCCCTTCACTAACCCCTGCACCCTGCCCCAAACCAGGCATACTTCTTCCGCATCACGCCATCACCTGACTGTACTAGAACTCCTGTCACTTCCTTATTACCAGATGTCCTAGGGTATTGAACTGGCCCAAGTGCCCCCGCAAGTCCACATTTACAGGGAGCCATCATCCATGTGTCCGTGTGTTTGTCAGTATCACACCTGTGGCCGACAGTCGGCACGGGTGCCTCGTGTCCTTCCCAGCTCAGAGCTCTCTGGGCCCAGCCTCCTCAGGGTGGGCCACTCAGCCGGACCACACCCGCCCCCTACCCCCACCATCCCCAGTCAGGGCCTTGGCAGGCGCCACCCCCAGAAACCAGGCCAGAATCAAAAGTACATTTGCAAGAAGGCAGGAATTTTATTGAATGAGCTTTTCTTTTCGGGGAGAAGCTAAGGAATCAGAGAGGAGCCAGGTCAGGGAGAAGAGGAAGCAGACCTGGGGGGTGTGGGCAGGGCAGGGAGCGGCCGCCCTGGGGAGGGGGCGGTGGCCGGGCGCAGAGTGGCCGGGGCCCCTCGCAGTCCCTCCCTCGCTCCTGCAGGGAGCCTTCAGCTCTCTCCTCCTCTGGGTGCTGAAGACAGAGGGAGGGACTGCCTGGCAGATTTAAGGCCTACTGTTCTCAAATCCGGCGACTGGAGCTGCTGCTGGAGGTTCCTGGAAAAGGAAGGAGGCAAAAGACCTTCAGGCTGGAGGAGACCCACCTCAGGCTGGCCCAGGCCCCCCAGAAGGGCCCCAAACCCGCAGTAGGTCAGGTCTAGGTGGGATAGGTGATGGGGACTCTATGTTGCTGTCTGAGGGACTCTCTCCACAACAGCCCCGTGTATCTCTGGGGCAGAGCCACCTATTCTGAAAGGAAAACGGAGGAGCAGGTGACCCCTGCTGCTCTAGCCCCATCCTCCTACCTACACGAGGGAGCCCAGCCCTGCCTCCTGCCTCCTCCCCACCCCAGGCTGATGAACAGGAGCCTGATCACCTCTCCCACTGGGTTATTTTCTTACCTCCTGTGGGGAAACCGATCAACCTAGGAGAGAGGAGAGAGGCAGTCATGAACGGAAGGCAACCAAGAGCGGCTGCTTACCTGTCCTCAGCTAGAACCACGAGGAGCCCTTGGAGCCCCTGAGTTGGGCTCTTTTCCCAGCTGTGCCCCCAGCCCACAGGGCAGCAGCATCAGGTAAGCCCAGATCTGCCCTGCCTGTCTGTCTGTGAAGCCTCAGGAGGAGATATTATTGAGCCATTTGCTGAAAGTTTTGTCCTCCTTTTGTTTCAATGGACCCTCTACCCTTCCCTTGAGCCTACAAGGATGGCCTGGCCCCTGCAAATAGTCTGAAGGCAGTTCAATCTCTAGCTTAATAGCTTTGTTGGGCTGTCCTGAATCCAAGCTCATATACTTTTCCAGCATGAGATATTTTCTCCATGGTCCTTAGCCCTGCCAAGTCTAATCCAGAGGCCCAGATGAGAAAGTTAAAGGAAATGCCCCCACAGTCTGATGCCAGAAGACAAGGAAGAAGCTCTGGTCCTGGATCTCGGTCCAAGCTGTTAAAGTGCAGACAGATGCCCTCCCCTCCCTTGCACGATCTCTAAGACCCTGCCTGCTCTAAAAGCAGAGTCCCCCAGTCCCTTTGCTGTGGGACCTACTTGGCGTCCTGGCCCTCCAGCAGGCTGCGGTAGGTGGCAATCTCCTGTTCCAGCCGCGTCTTGATGTCCAGTAGCATCTTGTACTCCTGGTTCTGGCACTCCATCTCACTGCGGAGCTCGCTCAGCTGGGCCTCGATGCTGCTGATGAGGCCCTGGATCTGCTGCAGCTGCAGGGCGTAGCGGCACTCCGTCTCCGCCAGTGTGCTCTCCAGCCCGGCTTTCTGGTGGGACAGCAGAGGAGAAGGTCTGAGAGACGCCAGGCCCGGGGGAGGGGCCTCGAGGGGGCAGCCACAGGGCAGAGGGCAGCCGGTGTACCATGCTCAGCTGGGACTGCAGCTCGATCTCCAGGCCCTGGAGTGTGCGCCTGAGCTCGGTGATCTCTGTCTTGCTGGTCTGGATCATGGCCGTGCTGGAAGACACCTCCTTGGTCAGCTCAGCGCTCTGGAATTCAAGCAGGATGGAGGTGACACAGGAGCCCAGCTGGATGACCCGGGTACCCTCTGGCTCGGCCAGGTGAGACAGCCAGGTACCTTGCTGTGGAACCATTCCTCTGCATCCCGGCGGTTCTTCTCTGCCATGGCCTCATACTGCTCCCTCATCTCTGCCAGCACGCGAGTCAGGTCAATGCCTGGGGTGGCATCCATCTCCACGTTGACCTGGCCGACCATCTGGTTGCTGAACTCCTTCATCTCCTGCAGGGACAGGAAAGGAAGACGCCTGAAACTCCTCAGCCGGCCTTTCCTCGGCTCTGAATGCTACCAGAATGTTTCAGAAAGTGCTTCGAGGTTCCACTGTGGAGGGCTGAGTCTGACCTCAGCAGAGGGCTCCCCGTTCTTGCTGGAGGTGATACAGCCACAGCAGGCCCCGCTCCCCACCCTCACCTCCTCGTGGTTCTTCTTCATGTAGGTCAGCTCCTCGTTCAGGCTCTCGATCTGCATCTCCAGGTCGGTCTTGGTCAGGGTCAGCTCGTCCAGCACCCTGCGCAGGCCATTGATGTCGGCCTCCACGCTCTGGCGCAGGGTCAGCTCATTCTCATACCTAATATTTTTTTAAATGAAAAACAACACAGAAATGGTATTAGGAATTGAAGGTTTTGAGCAGAAGCCACACATTGTCCTTGCTTGGCTGTGCAATAAACCTTTCTCTGCTCAAATTTAAAAAAAAAAAAAAAAGTGAAAGAAACAAAGAAACAGAGAGAGAGAGAAAGGGAAAGAAATGAAATTGGAGATACCCCTACCCTCTTCTGAACTCTGTTCCTTCCCCAAGACCTTCACTCCTGGGATGCTAGGATTACATTGATCAGAGGAACATTTGTTTAAAACAAGAACTGCTGAGAGAACGGGAGGAGGGAAATAAAACTCACTTGAGCCTGAAGTCGTCGGCAGCCAGCCGGGCGTTGTCAATCTCCAGGATGATCCGGTTGTTGTCAATGGTGGCCGCCAAGATCTGCAAAATACAGAAGGTGAGCACTGGAGGGTCCACGAACTCGGGGAGGAGGACTGAGAAAACGTGGGCTGGACGGGTGGCCGTCCAGCTCCGCCTGCTCCCTGCCCCTGCGAGCTGGGACAAGGCACTTCTCGCTGGGCCTCGGGTCCTCTCTGTAAAGTGAGGGATGAGATAGGTCCCCCTAGCGTGTTCTATCACTCCAGTGTTCTGCGTCTGGTCACGGTGATCTGTATGTGCACTGCCGGGGAGCGACCCCACCAGGGATGTCTGTGGTTAGTCATGTCTCCACAGCCTCAGACCATCAGTCTCATAAGGTCACTGTCTTGAGCACCTTCCTTCTCCTTAAGATCAGGAGAGGGGACTTCCCTGGTGGTCCAGTGGTTAGGACTCCGAGCTCCCAGGGGGAGTTGGGTTCAATCCCTGGTCGGGGAATTGAATCCCATAAGTCACAATTTAAAAATCCCCTGCGCTGCAACTGGGACCTGCATAGCCTAATTAATTAACTAATTTTAAAAGATCAGGAAAGAATCAGCCTCGCTTCCTACAGTTCATAACTTCACTGGAGCTGGCCTCCCCTCTGAGCAGAGTGGAATTTCAGTAAATATCCCCATCCATTTGAATTTCCTGTCTCAACTTTTGTGTTCCAAAGCACTTAAAATCCACCCCACATAGCTGGGACCCAGCCCAGGCAGGTGGATTTCTGTTCCAACAAGCTGGCCTCACAAAGGGAGAGAATCTCAGCTTAGCACTGCCTGCATCTCTCCCACCTGGTTGAGGCCAGTTGAGAACACCAATTTAAAGGGGGCCCCTACAAAACAAACCAGTGTTCCCAGACCAATGAATGAACATGTATTTCTTTCTCTGTTGATTTTATCCATTCTTAGTGGCTTTTAAGGCTGTCACGGTTTCCAAATAACCCAGTGAGTTACGATTATAGAGATCAAGTCGCTAACAACATAACTGTTTGGAAAGCAGTTAAAAAAAAATGTTGGCATGAGTAAGAACAATAAAAATGAATAATGAGAGAAAATACGTAGCATGAGAAAGATCATCCAGAGTAGACACGCTTGATAGGCAGTTAAAAGCCTAGATTTTCACCCGAAGGAAGGATAAGAACTCCATCCATACTGCATCTGCTGGTCCCTGGGGACCCTTCATGGATATGAAGGCCATCGAGTCTCTGCCCTCCTCACAGGAGAACCCTGCTCAACCTGCAAGGGCTCACCTTGTCCCGGAGTTCATTGATGGTCTTGAAGTAGGGACTGTAGTCACGCTCCGGGCTGGTCGGGGTCTGCTTTAGGTGCCAGTCTCGAATCTTCACCTCCAGGTCGGCATTGGCCTCCTCCAGGGCACGCACCTTCTCCAGGTAGGAGGCCAGGCGGTCGTTGAGATTCTGCATGGTGATCTTCTCGTTGCCGGAGAGGAGGCCGCCATCTCCACCGCCGAAGTCACCAAAGCCTCCACCAAAACCCCCACCAAAGCCACCTCCGAAGCCACCTCCGAAGCTGCCTCCGAAGCCAGCCCCATAGCCACTACTGGCCCCTCCACCGAAGCCGCAGCTCACACCACCCCCAAAGCCCCCAGCAGATCCCCCGGAGACAAACCGGGTTGAGCAGGTAGAGATACTGCGACCTCCTCCGAGCTGGCAGGAGCCACCCCCGAAGCCACCTCCATAGCTGGCGGAGGAACTCTGTAGGCGACAGCTCATGGTGAGACTGAGATGGGCAGAGAGCAGGAGAGGCAGGAGCTTGGCTTGGTTTGGCCGAGGACTGTGGCTCTCCTCTGGAGAGGATGCCTTTTATACACCTTCCAAGGGGTTGGACAGTGGCCCTATCTTCTCTCCTCCCTTCCCCACCCTCTGACTGGTGCCAACTGCACGTATGTTTCCCACAAGCTCAGTTACCTCCGTTCTCCAGGGTGGGTTGTGCCTCTGGGGGAAGGGGCCTTTTTTTTTTTTTTTAATCCTTAACAAAAGGGATGATTCAGAGGGAACAGTGTTCTCCTTGAGACTACCCTTTGACAACTGAATTCTGTCTCACCTCTCCACTTGGGGAACTCACTCCCATCGGCCCCACCCAATGTTAGAACGGGGACTGAGCTGCACCTGCCTGCCAGGGAGCCTCTGCAGAGGGAAGGAGGCTGCAAAGTGGCCCTCTGCCTCCCTTCTTCCTATCTCTAAAAAGTCTGACTGAGATGCTCTGTGTGCGTCTAGGCACTTCATCTACTCCATTGCTCCCAGCAACAGTGATCAACTTTGCTTGGTCTTGTAGAACCAATGATCTTGAAGGTGTTTAGGCTGAGAAAAAAAGTGGCTCCAAGACCATCAGATAAAGTCATGGTGGCAAGGGACCTTAGGGACCATCTGACACGGCTGGGGAAAGGGAGTCGTAGAAAGAGCAGGCAGACCCACACGTGCTAAGAGCTAACACTCTCAGATCCTTCACTGTATGCAGGCACCAGGCTAAGAATTTTATAGTGACTGCCTTGTTTAAGGGGCTTCCCTGGTGGCTCAGTGGTAAAGGATCCATTCTCCTGCCAATGCAGGAGATGCAGATTCCATCCCTGGGTGGGGAAGATCCCCTGGAGAAGGAGATGGCAACCCACTCCAGTATTCTTGCCTGGAAAATCCCACGGACAGAGGAACCTCCTCGGCTACAGCCCATGGGTTCTCAAAGAATCAGACATGACTTAGCAACTAAGCATGCACACCTTGTTTAATCTTTGCAGTGGCCCAGGAAGGTTGACCCTACTATTATCCCCATTTTACAGAGAAGAAAACTAAGCCTTAAGGGCAAAGTCAGGACTGAAACCCAAGTCTGGATCTGTCTGACACTGGGCTCATTCTTTTTTGTTTTTTCCATTTTTTTAAATTTAATTAATTAATTTATTTTAATTGGAGGCTAATTATTTTACAATATTATAGTGGCTTTTGCCATGCATTGACCTGAATCAGACTAGGCTCATTCTTTGGGCATATTTTTTCCTACAGCAAAATAGACAAATTATAAGCATCCAGCTTAAAGTAGGATCTAGTTGTGGGGATCTTAATGTGGGATCCCCAGCTATGAAAATTTAAGCCACCACTCAGAACATTTCCAACTCCCTATAAATCTCAATGTACCTTTTCCTGGTCAATTGCCCTCCATATCCCCCATCCCCCTAACATAACAATAATTTCAACTCTGTCACCACAGATCAATTTAGAGGTTCTCAGCCAGGGGCTATTTTGCTTCCCAAGGGACATTTCATAGTGTCTGGAGACATTTTGTTCTTCACACCAAAGGGATACTACTGGTATCCGGAGGACAGAGACCAGAGATACCACTGAATACCCTACAGTGCCCAGGACAGCCCCTGCCACCAAGAATCCTCCAGCCCAGAAGGTCCGTTGTGCCCAGGTTGAGAAGCCCTAGGTCAGCCTGACCCATGGATTTAATGGTTTCATTACAGCAGCAGCCTCAGAGGCATAGCCAATTCCAAAAAGGAAGTCTTGTAATACTGAGCTCTTTCTAGTCCCACAACCACGTGATGCCTGACTCAGCTTGTGCATGTTTAACCAAGAGGCCACATAGAGGATATGACCTAGGGCCTGGGGCCAGGGTCCCTGCTGAGGAGCCTGGGATGTGCCTGAGACTCAGGGTCCACTTAGGAAGCCCACCAGAGGAGGCCTCACCTTCATGCCTAGTCAGTCAGTCGTGTCCGACTCTTTGCCACCCCATGGACTGCAGCCCAACAGGCTCCTCTGTCCACGGGATTCTCCAGGCAAGAATACTGGAGTGGGTTGCCATTTCCTTCTTAAGCCAAAGGTAAACGGCCTTGAGCTGGTCTCTCAGAAGCCCAGAATAGAGAGAGAGTTTCCAGGGTTGAGAATGGCAGACCCAGGACTCAGGCTTCCAGGCTCCACTTACCAAGGAGGCCATGGTGGCCATGAATGGCCCCCTGGGAGCTGCCCTCTGCCCACAACAGCCTGAGGGGCTTGGTGGGATAGGCCAGGGGCTGCGGTGAGGTGACTTGAGGTTGTCCTGGAAACCCTTTTGCTGATTCTGCAATACCAGAAAGGAAGGTTCTGAGTCAGGGCTTTCTTGGCCTTTGTTTTCTTCAGGTGGGGAAGTGGGCCTGCATCTCCCTTCACAGGTGTCGGCATCAGGGAAAGAGCCAGGGTGGGCCGTGGTGCTCCAAAACCTGGTGAGACCAGGGATTTAGCCTTACCCCTGACCCTGCCCAGCTCTCCTATCCCAAACTGATGGCTCAGCTCTCTCACTGAAAAGGTGTGATTCAGCCCAAAGCAGAAGCCCTCTCTCTCTCAGTGGGGATCAAAACAGAAAAGAAGGTGATTAATGGAACCTGCCAGGCCTGGAATGACGATCCTCCCGGGGCTGAAGAGCAGGTTCAGCCAACGCCCCTCAGAGGAACAATAATCACAGATCCTCTGGAGGCCCACGGTGGCCAGGACATGCCTCTCTCACAGGGTCAGGGCACAGCCCCTCCCCACCCCTCCCGAGGAGGGTATGCGATGCCTTGACGCAGGAATGCCTTCCTCTGACCACGAAGTGAACCCCAGGACCCACAGAGCTGGGGACACCTGCCAGCCCTCCTAGAGGGACCTGGGGCAGAGAGCCATAGGGAGGACCCTGTTTCTCCTCTCTCAGTCCTGGGTCAGATGGGACAGGACCCAGTGATGGGGCTGAGGCCCTGCTCACAGGTCTAAAGCTCCCTTCTTTGCTTTCTGGCAAAACTACAGGTTTAGTCCCCTCTTCTATAACGTTTCCAGGGAGGGAGAGGGAAAGCCCCATGTATGAGTAACCCTGCAGAAGAGGCTCATCTTGACAGGTTGTCACTGACTCTGCACAACAACAGGTGAGGGGTTTTACATGGCCCCATTTTATAGATGAAGCCCCTAAGGGAAACTAAGTCACTAGTCCAAGGTCGCTGTGAAGTCAAAATTTAAGCTGGCATCTGGCTCTCACTACCCCACCAGTTGGTGTCTCCGAGCCTTGCTGCAAACTCAGTGTCTGATCTCTGAGTAACCCATTCTGTATGTGTTAAAAAATAATAAAATAACACTAGCTAATATTTTGAACACAGTGTGAAACACTTTACATGCATGACTTTATTTGGTCCTTTTAACAGCTCTACTTTTATCATATCCTTTTTGCAGATGAGGAAATGAAGGCCCAGAGAGGCTGACGGCATTGCCCAAACCTGACTATGTCGAAGCCAAGATTCAAACCTCTGGCTCTAGGGCCTGCACACTTAACCACTGCATGGTTAATCCCTTTCAGGCCAGTGTTAGCACCGTCCCATCCAGAGACCGGCCTCTGTTGCCTCGCCATTCCCAGGCCTCCTGTCACCCAAGACCCACCTGGTGGATGGTCCTGCAGCCCACAGAGGTTAGGCCTGTGTGCTGACGGCCGGGTGATCAGCCTGTCTGCTGTCTGACCTGATTTCAGTACTTCAGGGGATTTCTCAGGTACTCACTAAGTGCAGAATGTCAAAGCCTAAATGGTTGTAGAAAATTTCCCTTTCAACCACCTCATTTCACAGGTGGGGGAAACTGAGACCCAGAATGCAGAGGCCCAGGGCAATGGGAAAGGAAGAGAAATACGTGGATTTCTAGGTCGACCGCTGATTCATTGGGGGCCTTCCATTGAGATGACTTCCAAGTTTCCTTCAGCAATGCCCTCTGGGGCTCTGGTTCTCAAAGATTTATCCAGAGTCACCAGACTGTTCATCTGCAGAGCTGAGGCCTAAACCCTGCTTCCAGCTCCTAACCAGAGTTCCTTGCTTGAATCTTGGATCAGGCTCCTGCCTCCTTCTCTCTCTCTCTCTCTCTCTCTCTCTCCCTGGACCACAGAGGGTCTGGAGCCCAGGCTGGCTGTGCATGAGTGCATATGCTCAGCCACTTCAGTCATGTCCAACTCTTTGTGACCCCATGGATTGTAGCCTGCCAAGCTCCTCTGTCCATAGGATTCTCAAAGCAAGAATATTGGAATGCGTTGCCATGCCCTCCTCCAGGATATCTTCCTGACCCAGGGATCAAACCCGTATCTTCTGTGTCTCCTGCACTGCAGGCAGATTCTTTACTCACTGAGCCACCTGGAAAGCTCCCAGGTTGGCTGACCACCTCCCAAAGAGTCTTAAGGCTCCCCCACAGGAGAGAGTCACCTTGTAAATGGCAGACCCTGCCTAGATGGGGGACCCAGGCCTTCTGGGCACCCTGCACCCTCAGAGACACCTGCTTGACACAGCAGTCCTCAGGAGCCTTCTTCAGATTAGCCTCGAGGTCTCAGGGCTTTATATTTCTACACACTCAGCTTTCTAAAATCCCTATTGTTACCACCTGGGTTCCCCAGAAACCCATAGAGGCTAGTACAGGCTTTGAATTAAGTGGACCTGAGTACCAACCCTAAGTCTGCCAAAGATTGCCTGTGTGACCTTGGGAAAGTTACTCAACCTTTCAGTGCCTCGGTGGCCATAACAGAAAAACAGGCATCAGACGAGTGAGTATCTGAGAAGCACCTGACACCCAGGAGCTCCCAGCAGGCGGAAGGTTCCTCTCCCCTCCCTGTTACAAACAAGGAAACGCGAGCTTCTCCTTGTCAGATGACTCAGCAGAAAATTCTTTGGTCCTCCATCCTGTGCCAGCTCATTGCTTCACCTCCCTCTCTGGTTCCTGCAGCCAGCATAGCACCTGCAGCAACCAGACAGGTGACAGCTGGTGGCATTCTGGTCTCATTTCCCCCACTCCGTCTTACATCCCCTGAAGACA